TAGTTTTCAATCACTAATAAGCTAATTTGTGCACCAAAAACCCTTCAAATTTGAGTTTTTTTTAAAAAATTAAGGTGTTTCACCAAAAGGTACCTATGATGGTTTCATACATCTTATGGATTTGTATTTGCCATTTGTAACACATATTTTGATTTTCATAAATTTTACTATAAAATGGTTTTTTTTTTAACTACACACTATCTACACACTATGTCTAATGAATACTAGAGTTTATACACACATTTTCCATTATATAGATCTGCTGGCGATTTTCCCCTCTCCGGCGATTTCATCTCCTATTTCTGTAGTCCATCCACTCACGCGATTTCGCCTCATATCTCCCCTTATGGTGTAACTGTGTAAGTTATCACTTCCACTTTTAATTTTTTTTAGTTTTTGTTAGATGGTGAATTGGTATCTAGATTTGTTCGAATTTGTTGCTAAAATAGGATATGGGTTAGTTAGTTTATGTTGAATTGGAATCTATAATATGTTAGAATTTGTGTTAGAATAGTTATTTCTAAGATTTCTTTTTTTTTTTGGACAAAATTTCTTAGATTTCTTAGTTACTTAGGATTTGTGTTATAATATATATATATATATATATGGTGAGATTTGTGTTAGATTATGATTATTATTTTTTGTTTGATTTTATTAGGATTTGTGCAAGAATAAATATATTTTCTATAATTCCCTTTATTTTAAGTATATGATTTTTGTTAAGTAATTTTGACATTGGTTTGACAAAAAAATTTCTTCTTTAATGAGTTATTTACTTTAATTTTTTTATTTTTTTATGAAGTTTATGATTTTAAATATTTTAGTATGCTTTGAAAAGTGTTGTTTAAATAAATTTTCTTATTTCACTTCTAGGAAACTCACAAATCCAAGGAACGGATTTTTGGGTTAGGAAATCGTTCCCAAATATCGTCTTCTTCTCGTTTCTCGGGTTTCTCTTATGCCCCATCTTTCGATTACCACCAAGCGATGGAAGAGAAGATGACGAGATGTCAACGTTTATGAATGAAATGCGTGCAAGGTTGTCGTGATTTTTATGATTTCCATATTTTTTTGAACAATTTCTTTTATTTTTTAGTTTTAAAATATTCTATTTATGATGTATTCTGAATTTAAATATTAATGCAATTTCTTAATATATATTTTTCACTAATTTTCTTTATTTTGACGAAAAAAATTCATTAAAATTACTTCTAAAATAAATAAATAAAAAATTCCGTCGGTAATCTGTCAGTAATGACGGAGATTTTTTTTCATACCTTCCCTCAGTAATGACCCAAAAAATAGCACCGACCGATTATCGATGACTTTATACCGACGGATAACCCGTTGGTAATACACTCCTCGGGAATCCATCGGTAATTACCAATGAATTACCGACGGATTTTCTTTACCGACGCTCTAGAACTGACGGACGCATCCGTTAGTTTTACGTCAGACTAGAGCTGTTTCTGACGGAAAACAGACGGATATGCCCGTAAGTTTTGAGCTGTTTCCTTGTGGTTAATTTCTCCAAGTAGCAAACCAAAATCTAAGACCATCCTCAAATTTTGAAGTTTTTACCATGATTATCTAAAGAATCACACATGGTCTTTTTGTTAACACATTCATGCATTAGAGAGTAGTGTTTTTAAGAACTTTGGGCATGGTGGATTAGGGTACTTAATAGTTGACTTGTGATGTTTAGGGTTACATTTCTTAGTTTCCTTGTTTATGAGATGTTGTTAATGCTAGATTAACAATCATTAAGCTATTCTTAGGTAAATTATTGAGTGGAAGGTGTTGAATAAAACAACGGAACAAAACTCATAATTGTTTAATCAATGAAAACTAATGATTATAGTGTTTATCATCTAATCGCAATCGGATGTTTAGCTTCATTAGGTGATCTATTTAAAGCATGTGATATCTAAGCCTAAGGATTTGGATTACAGTGTTTGTGTTGGTTGAACACAATCACTAAGTACTTCGGACCGAGTATGTCAACTAATTTGACTTGGTCAGTTTTTAAGATCATTAAAACCCCATAATTAAATGGTTCTAATGTTTCGAATTAGAGTTTGAAAGGAACATGTTGGACATGAACGAAGAAGAAGAAGAATAAAGATTCAGTGGTCCTGTTTTAGACAAAATATTAACAAGAAGAAACAATCCTACGTCGTACATAAATTTTTTATATATATTTATAACAACAAAGCAAAACCAAACATAAAAACATAAACATTCATGTCATAAAATCTTAACCAATAATTTCTTTCTTTTTCTTTTAGCTAATAATATCTTAACCAATAACCAAGCCATAGTTACACAAGTATATTGATATGTCAGAGATTTTCAAAGTTAAGGCAAGTGTAGTTAGTAGTCTGACCGTCGACGAGTAAATACCACGGAAGTAACAGTGTAAGAGATTTCGTTGCGCACACATTCTGAAAGGTGAAAACCATATGAACAGAGCGATCAGATAAAAGTTTGGTTGATCTCAAAAGCAGGATCGTTCTGCCAAGTTTGCAGAACAAGGAACTGCTCGCGAAGTTCGCACCCACAGTAGGTTTCAAACCATCAGAGGGAAGAATGGAGAGGGTAAGAACTGAAAAGTTAGCTTAGTTGGCTATAAAATAAACAAACTATAGTTGGTTGTGGCCTTGAACGTAATGGACTATCGAACGTAATTGGTTCACTTGGCCTATTTTTGTTAATGAGCATTAGTGACTAGTGACTAGTTTTTTTAAGAACTTTGGGCTTAATAGTTAACTTGTGATGTTTAGGAGTAGATTTCGTACTTTCCATGTTTATGGGATGTTTTTAATGCTAGATTAATAATGATTAAATCGTGCATGTTTTACATTCAAATTAAAATTAAATCGATTAAGATTTGACCATAGCATCTAATCTCTGTTTTTGTTCAACTATCAAATTAATGTTAATGTTCCGTTAGGGTTTCGACTTTGGAGATTGGTTTCTTGAAGAAACTGTGGTTTAACAACGATAGGATTAAACACCTAATCTTTGTTTCAAGTGATGGTTTTTTATTTATTTAGCCTCACTTGCTTGCGCTTGAAGAAACTTGTTTTACTTACACACGTCAATCATGAAAAGTTTATTCAACACATAAATCACAATCACACAGATAAGTTACACACTTGAAGCATAATTATTCAACACAGAGATAATCTCACAGAGAAAATAAAAGACTCATAAAATAGAAAAACTTCAAATGATATCTTTAGGTAACTTTGTTCAGCAGGGGAATGCTCTGTTCATCGCAGAAGAAATCTGTTGGATCAACACTCGTTTTAACTCTCACCAATCTCTCGAAATTGTTCTTGAAGTACTTCACTCCCCAACTCTTTCCTTCCTCGTACTTTGTCTTCTTCTTTCCAAGATACATACCCAAATCCATATCCACGAAATTGACATAAGCTCCTCTTGGAGATTTCGAAACATATGGAGTCATAAGTTCGTAAACGCTATCGACCCATTTCAGATATTTATTTGTCCCCGTCATGTTCTTGTCTTCCTCTTCTCTCCAGTAAGCCACATACTGAATCTCATAGAGATTCCCTTCTCGATGTGGGAATAGTGTTTCGTGCTCTGCAATTTCACTCATTTTCCCACCAAATGGAGTTAATATGATCTTTGCAAGTCGAGCCTCGGGGGCGTCTAATCGCCTCCATAGCTCTTGAATTGCAGCCTCGGGTATCGGTTCTTGGACAAAATCATCTTTTCCCTTGTAAGATAGAGATGTACGCTCTCGATTCGTGAGAACATCATCAAGAGATTCTCCTTTATGGAAATCAGCAAACCAGAGTACAGACTCAACCCAACTCATCTCTGTGCAACCATCTTTCTCAAGACCTAATTCCGGAAACTTTTCTTCCATCAACGCCAAAAGATTGTTCGCGGGACCGAGATAAAGACCAGTGAACAAAGCGTGTACTGCGTTTTTGTTTGATCTCTCCAATGTTGTCCTAATGAAAAGATCATCAGGAACCTTATCTGCAACATATTGCCATTTGTTGATGATCCTAACGGCCTCTTTCTTTGATGTTCTCTTGACTTTAAACACGGTTATTGTAGATGGAACATCGACTAATTTAATCTTCCACGATAGTATAATGCCAAAGCTTGATCCGCCCCCTCCACAAATCGCCCAAAAGTAGTACTCCTCGCCCATTGCTTGTCGGTCAAGAATCCTCCCACTCGCATCGACCACAAGTGCATCGATTATGTTATCCGCAGCTAAACCGTATTTTCTTAGCAATGTGCCATAACCTCCACCGCTAAATTATCCCCAAACGCCGACAGTTGGGTGAATACCGGCCGGGAAAGCAAGAGTTTTGGGGGTTTTCCCAATCTCATAATACAATTCCCCAGCCGTTGCTCCGGTTTGGACCCAACCGGTCCGGTTATCGACGTCTAATGATATAGACTGAAGATTCCGTATATCGATGACAACGAATGGTTTGTTGTACGCAATGTACGATAGACCTTCGTAGCAGTGACCGGCGCTCCGAGTCCTTACATGAATTCCATGCAACCGTGCGCATCTGATCACGGTTTGAACGTCACTGGCTTTAACCGGAGTTATGATTGAGACCGGTTTAGGTGTTTCAGAAACCGAGAATCTTGGATTTTGTATGGAAGAATCCAAAATGGAGAAAAAGGAAGAGTCTTTGGAAGTGTGTATGACTTTGGATTCGACGGTGTTGTGGTTCATCCGGTAAGAAAGACACTTACGAAAGTCTTCATGGTTAGTGCCATGAGCTGAAACAAGAGGAGTGAGAGGAGAAATATTGAGTGAAAAGAGTAAAAGAGTGAACAAAAGCTTGAGTGAAACTCGTATTTCCTCAATTAATTCCAAAACACACAATTTGCCTTTATTTTTAGTATGTTTAATTTTAGACAATATTTTGATTGATAAGGATATGTTACATGGCCTAAGGACTATTTAATACATGCAAAGGAACTATTAGAATGGAACATACATATAAATGATGGTTAATTAAACGTTTTATGAAAATGTAACACATTATATTTTTCAAAAATAAGAGTCGATGAATAAGCTTGGGGCATTGATCCAATAAGATAGGGAAACAAAATATTTGGATTTCAAAGCTTTATACTAATGTGTAGATGATATCTTCAAGTCCTGACAATGATCAGATAAGGAAACAGAATGGGCAGAGAAACAAGTCAAGCCATGAGTACATGAGAGTTTATTACTTGGTGAAGGTGATGGAAGAGAAGAGAATCGAGCAGGCACAAAACCAAACCATGTGACAGTGTGCTTCCTTTGGTAGCTTTTCCTGCGGTAATACACATCGTAGCCAAGCCTTGATCCAGATCTTACAATACCTTTGGTAGCTTCTCTCTTTAAACAAAAAGATTAAGACTCCGTTATAAACATCACAAGCTTTGTCATTTGATAATCTGCGGTCTGTTGCTAGTAGTTTTTGATCTGGTTCGGTGGATTTTCGGTGGTGTGTCAACCGTTAATGCATACATTTTTACAGCAAATAACTCTTGTGGAAGACCTTTCTGATCCTGAAAGTTATGGTTTTGGAGAAAAGACTGTAAATTTCTAAACTATCAGTTCTTAATTTTACGGGATTAAGGTTTAAAAAAACAGACAAGAATTCAAGTATTCAACCTTTGTTCTATAGAGATGTAACCCGCATTGGCGAAAGAGCTGTTTGAAGTAGGGATCCGATCTGGTGATGCTGTGATCCTCTTTATCCAAAACAAATCCTGCAGAAAAAAACATATATGTAGTTTTGTATCAGATCATAAGAATATCAAAGTGAGAGTCCAATGCCTACCAAAAAAAAAGTGAGAGTCCAAAAGAGAGAGAGCGAAAGGAACCTTTTTTAGCGAGATTCTCCTTCACGACGAAAAACCCACCAGGTTTAAGGCATCCCTGAGATCAACCAAGAACATCACATGAGAATAAACATCAAAAACACAATGCATAGGAACTACAATTTTACTTGACTTGTAATGAAGTAACTGAACATAAGCTGTTTACCTTTGCGCAGTTAAAGAAAGAAACAAAGTCATTGTCCGTGAGATGCCCAATGCACCATTGAACCCATATGACATCGTACCTCCCAGCAGCTGGAGTAAACTCCTATGATTATATAACATTCACAACGCAAAGGTGAAGAAATTGAACACAATGATAAAGATAAGGACAGCAGAAGAGATCATTCAAGAACATTACCTGAAGAGGAACACAAAAAAAGTTCGTTGCTTTGTGCGTTTTGGAGCCCGCAGATGCCAAGTTTTCACGTGCTGCATCAAGAAACTGCGCTACAGGCTCAAGAAGATCAACCTAAGATCAAATAAATACAAAAGTGATTATCAAATGAAATCAAAAACAGAGAAGAACAGAAACTAAAACAAAACTTCACCTCGTTAAAATATCGAATTAGAAGATTCTTAGTGATTCTTCCAATACCAGATCCACAATCTACAAATGATTAGAGTGATTCATAAGAACACACATATGTAAAAAAACAATAAACACCAATGAGAGAAGAGAGTTACCAAGAGCTACTAAATGTTGATTAGGTCCAACATTAACTAATCTTTCTTGCAAAAGAGTCTTAAGAAAAACCTCACTTCCTATAATATCAGCATCATTCACATGACCATATCCTCCTAATACTCCATCAACAGAAGCTTCAACACCCTTTATAACAACACAACACACACAAATCTAAGGAACTTGACACTAAAACAAAGAAAAGGTAAAGTTTTTAAGATCAGAAGATTGAAAAACTTACTTCCCAATAAGAAACACCATCTCTATACCATTGGGTTTTTCTAGTTTCGTCTCCTTCTTCTCCAATTTCTTCTCTCCACATCTCTTGTACGCTGTTAAACTCTTTCCCTTCGGAATCAACGCCACAAATCTCCATAGATTCAGAAGAGAGAGTTAAAACGCTTCTTGTCTCTCTTCTCTGTTGAAATAGATACGGTGGTGAAGCAAGTGTCGTCGTCGTCGTCGTCGTCGACGGCGGCGAGATATGGTTTTGGTGGTTGTGGCAATGGAAGTGACCAATGGAAACAAATGGGCTGTGAAGAGAAAACGACATTTTTTTGTTATTGGGCCTTTTGGGTTTCGTGTCTTTGTAGCATTTTTTTTTTTTTTTTTTTATGAATAAAAGCATTTGTTTTTTCAAAGTTTAAGAAAATATAATGTGAATGTTTAGCTATTATTAATTTTTACATATAATCAAAATCTTAACATTAATATGAACGTACATGCATAAAACCGTAATGTGAAATAAATGTATAAAATATTAATGTAAATATAATAATTTAAATAATATATTTAAAAGTATATTTAAAATATATATACTTGGAATCACGAGACGGAAACTAATTAAATAATTGATATATAATTAAAACAGGGACATATTTAGTACTATTAGCACAAAACACTTGATTATGGTAGAAAAATTAGTAAATGTTTTTTTTTTGTCCACATCATACTAGTAATTTGCTTCTAAATCTTCTAAATTGAAGTTGCAAATAGGCCTGAGCAATATCGGATCGAGTTAGATTCGGATTTTTTTGGATTCGGTTAATTTGGATAGGAGTGTTTATTATTCGTTCGGGTTTTATGACTATTTGGTTTGGTTTCGGTTTGGATATTGTCGGGTTCGGATCGTCGGATCGGTTTTTTGGAAAAAAATTGTTCAAATTTAATAATTTTTTTTAATTTTAATAAAATTTATTTAAATTTATTAAAAATTGTACAATTTTAACAAATATAACTAAACATTTTCGGATATATAGGTTATTTTGAATATTTTTTGTTATTTAGTACTTTTGGGTATAAAATTATAACTAAATATAACAAATATTTTTGGATATATAATTTTATTTCAAGTTTTCGGATATGCTTTCGGTTTTCGGTTTGGTTAATTCGGTTAGAAGCATTCATTATCTGTTTAGATTTATAACTATTTGGTTTAATTTCGGAACCGGATTTTAATTCAGTTTTTGAATTTTGGATTTTATGCTTTGCTTTAGTTGTAAGAGTAAATGATGTAGAAAAACATTAGTAATGGGACCAACTTGACATGCAAGACTTTGTTCTCTTGGACGTGTAATGAATTATTGGAAAAATGTCACAAATTCTCAACTTTTGTTGAACTGTGCCAAATACGTAGATGAGTTGACTGATGGAACAAATTAGCGGATTAAATTTTCGTTAAAATTTTCTGTTAAACCGCAAACTACATCGTTTTGATTAAAAACTATATATGTTTGTTGTTTAACATGTTTTATCTACATTAAAACAACGTAGATTCTATGGTTTAACAGAAAATTTTTAACGGAAATTTAACATCAAAATTCAAAATGACAAATAGTTTGTTGTTTTTTTGTTGTTTTATTAAACAAAGAGAACAAAAGTCTTACATGTCAAGTTGGTACCATTACTCTTGCAAGTTCAGTTTAGATGCTAATTTATAGTATGATGTGGAATTTTTTGTTCTAATAGTAGTATTAAAATATGTCCTTGTTTAGTCATATACTCCATTAATTATTAGTCTCCGCTTCGTGATTCCAAGTCTTTAATTATATAATAACAGATTAGTCTCGGGAAAAAAATATAAAAAAAAGCCTCGAGATTCTCAAGTCTCCGATTATATTAACAGAGTCACCAAGAGCAACTACGAAGAAGAGTAACAATGGAGTTCAATAACGAGAAGAAGAAACTCTCGAGACAATCTTCTTCCTTTAGACTCCGAAGTCCAAGTCTAAACGCTCTCCGTCTCCACCGAGTTTTCGACCTATTCGACAAAAACAACGACGGATTCATCACCGTCGAAGAACTAAGCCAAGCACTCTCACGACTCGGTCTCGAAGCTGATTTCTCCGATCTCAAATCAACGGTTGACTCTTTCATCAAACCAGACAAAACCGGACTCCGGTTCGATGACTTTGCTGCACTCCACAAAACCCTAGACGAATCTTTCTTTGGAGGAGAAGGAAGTTGCTGCGACGGGTCTCCGGAATCAGATCTTGAAGAAGCTTTTAATGTGTTTGATGAAGACGGAGATGGATTTATCTCCGCCGTGGAATTACAAAAGGTTTTGAAGAAGCTTGGACTACCTGAAGCAGGAGAGATTGAACAAGTGAAGAAGATGATTGTATCTGTTGATAGAAATCATGATGGTCGCGTTGACTTTTTCGAATTCAAGAACATGATGCAAACTGTTGTTGTTCCTTCTTCTTGAAAAAGTTGTCGTTTGTTTAAAGTTGTTCATGAATGCAAAACAATTTCAGATAAAGATCTTATGCATGAACATTAAACTGTGTTCTGGATATTTGTCCGATTGGAACTTTGATTTTTCGGATATTTTTATATTAAAAATGGTTTAGTATTGGACCTAAAAAAACATCAGATTTTACGCAATTTGCCACAATAGAATACAAGTTGCCAATCTCTTGGTGAAAATACGGCTTAAGAATGGGCCAACTTAAAAATGCCGGACGAGTAAAAGTCGCAAATATGTTACAAACTATAGCAATAATTTGAAGATGGTTGTATTGTAACTACGGATGCGTAAATCTCCTTTTTCATTTCTGTTGTACATCAAATTAACCATTAGTATATCATTTTTTTTTTTTTTTTCTAAGTAGATGATGGAGGACCAGTGTAATATAAAATGAGTTATGGGATGCATTTATGGCGAGAGTTACGATGCCTTATAGATTTTAAGATTAAATTGGCATATTGTAGGAAATCTTTCCAAATCTACCACATTTAGAAATGTGGCATTTCAAATCTACCACATTTGAGAAAAGCTTTCCAAATGTACCACATTTTGTTGCCACATGGCTAAAGCCGGACGAAATTGCCCTTGATGGAGAGAGAAGTGTGTCAGAGAAAGGGACAACTTGGGACATGAGGGAGCGGTCTGCATTTAATGATGCACGTTTACAATTGTTCTCTTAATATTAAATTAAAATCGAGGACAAGTTCATATGGAATGAGTAATATAATTAGATCGGTGACAAGTTTAGATCGAATGAATAATATAATTATATCGGGGACAAGTTCATATGGAATGAGTAATATAATTAGATCGTGGACAAGTTCAGATCGAATGAGTAATATAATTATATCGGGGACAAGTTCATATGGAATGAGTAATATAATTAGATCGGGGACAAGTTCAGATCGAATGAGTAATAGAATTAGATCGGGAATAAGTTCATATCGAATAAGTAATAGAATTAGATCAAGGACAAGTTTATATCGAATGAGTAATAAAAGTAGATCATAGACAAGTTCAGATCGAATGAGTAATATAATTATATCGGGGACAAGTTCATATGGAATGAGTAATATAATTAGATTGGGGACAAGTTCATATCGAATGAGTATCAGAATTAGATCGAGGATAAGTTCAGATCAAATGAGTAATAGAATTAGATCGGGGACAAGTTCATATGAGAAGAAACCCAGATCTAAATGTGTAGCCGATTTAACGTCGTGGACCAAAACTATATAATTGATAAACTATTTTCAAACCCAGATTTAGATTTTGAATGAAAAATATCGAATGAGTACCAGAATTAGATCGAGGACAAGTTCAGATCAAATGAGTAATAGAATTAGATCGGGGACAAGTTCATATGAGAAGAAACCCAAATCTAAATGTGAACCGATTTAATGTCGTGGACCAAAACTATATAATTGATAAACTATTTTTAAATCCAGATTTAGGTTTTGTAGGAGAGAAAAAATCATATGAGAAGAAAAAGAAGAAGAAAACTTCATAGATAGATATGATCTATGAGTGAGAGAAAGAAAAAATAATGTGAGAGAGAAAAATAGTGAGAGAAAGAAAGAAAAGAAAAAAATTTAAAAATAAACATAAAGAGAAAGAGATAAATGGAGAGAAAAATAGTAACTTCTCATATCAAATGTGGTAGGATTGGAAAGGAAGTTGAAAATGTGGTAGATTTGGAAAGAATTGGGGGAAATGTGGTAGATTTGTTAGTTTTTCCCATATTGTAATAGAGCACTCCGTCTTCTGGGCGGAATCAAAATTTGGCAGACTTTTTTTGTTTTTGGTGTGGATAGTTTTTTTTTTTTTCACAATATGTAAAAGAAACTAGATTAAGTATAACTTGTATATGATGCGATGACTTTTCTACATGTTGAGGCTCCGATTGATAACGCAGAGTGCAGAAAATAATATTAAGTTACATAATGAAATGAATTATGTTAAATATTTGGATAATAAAATATAATACAATATTATTCATACCCCCTTCGTATATACTATATATCCTTTTAAGTGATGTTTGAAGATTTTTATATAATTTGAACAGGTGTTTTCAACTTTATTTGCAAAAATTAAATATATTTAATATTTTTTGACCAATTATATTTTACAGTATATTTTAAGTGATGTTTTAAGATTTTTATATAATTTGAACAGGTTTTTTCAACTTTCTATGCAAAAATTAAATATATTTAATATTTTTTGACCAATTATATTTTACAGTATATTGTTTTATTGGTTGGATTAGTTGTAGTTAATCATGTTTTTATGTAAAAGAGGTAAATTAAATGAGATTTTATAATTTCTTAATTTATTTGCAAAAACGTTAAATCATATCACTTAAAATTGAAAAGAGAGACTATATACATATCCAATTTTTTAATTTATTTTTAAATGATTTCACTATATCTTAAATATTATTTGATAAAATAGACAAAATTTAGTAAAAATTGGTCGTGATGGTTTAATGGATTCGATATGCGGCGGTTCGACCGAAGCTCCCTAGACGAATCTTTCTATCGAGGAGTAGAAAGCTGGGGCGGCGGGATAATTTCTTGCTAAAAGAAATCTAGCTTTTTGTGAAAAAAAACTGAAAAACTTTACCAAGATAACAATAGTAATTTCTTAGGTACTATTAGAATGATTGCAGAATTTGATTTGATAATCCAAGATCATATAAGACGCATTCATAGTTATGAAATTCATTGTCATTATCTTGGTCATAATATTCAGAATGAGTTTATCTCTCTCTTTTGGCTCATAATGTTCAACTCTCCATCATAAAAACCATTAAAGAGTCGAGATATTTTTCTGTCATAT